ATCCTAAACCAGGGGGGCCTCAGAGCTATGGGTTCAGGTCGAAGTTGAAATCCTAACACATATGGAAATCCTCTCCTCGGGTCTTTGAATTCCTCGATATCTCCTTCCTTTAACATATCCTCTCTCAAGTTGTGGGTCTGCGGGCACTCGAGGAGCCTGTGGGGGATGGAGTCCACGGGGCCCTTACGCAACTCGCATTCGACTTCGTTCTGATAGCCTGCCGCGGCCATCTTTCCTTTAGACCAAATGCACTGGCAACCATATGAGAGCAGCGTCTTCCTTTTGTGGGCCTGCGCTGTGCTATCCTGCAGCGCGTGCTGCATGACCGACGGGTCGAGCGGCTCGTCGAAACCGAGCTTCTGCCCCGCCTTCGCGTCCAACTGCAACTGCCACTGAGACTGAAAACAACTTCTTGATGAGGGCTGGGGAGGTGGTGATGAGAGGGTAGTCCTGGCCTCGCGAGTCCCGAAAGACGAGCGGGTCGGGCATGGACCACCCCAGAGGACTCAAGCTGAGCAGCGTGGCCCCTATGGGCCCTCGGATCTGGTACCATTTCTTCGGGGGATTGTGGAGGACCTGAAGGGCTTGTTCTCGGAGACCCACCAGAGAAAAGCCGATCGCATCAGGATCATGAGTAACTCTCCAGATCAAGCTGGCCCAGTAACAGGCCGGCCCAAGAGCAGCACTCCAAGTCGGATCCCCCAAGATCGATAATGCCAGGGACCTGGATCTTGTAGCACAACGGGGCCCTACAATCTTGAGGTAGAGGGGCTGGGCTTCGTGCAACTCTGGGTTGGCGAGGCCGACGACCTCGGCGCCGTAGAGGGCGGCTGCTTTCAAACCTGTCTGATAAACCTTACGCATATTTGCACCTGCTCGCCAAATCTGGGCCAGACGGTGGAGTCGACGCTTGATCTTGGAGTTTCGCTTCGCCAGAGTTTTTCGGGCCTTCTTCGAGACCGTGTTGCCCATGGTGAAATCGACTCCGAGGTTTGGCGCAGACTGTGCTTGGTTGACTCCCTCTGGTCCACTGTACTTGCCGAGAGCTTTGGCCAGGCGTTGCTGAACTTTCGCAGACGAGCCCAGCACCGCCGCCTCGTGCAAGGCGACCGAGCAGTCGAGGTCCTCCTCGATTAAATCTTGCAGGCTGTCGGAGGCCTGCGCCAGGTCCGACACCAACAGGCGAACGCTTGCATTGTTGCTTGTCAACATGAAATCATCTATGAAGATGGAGGGGTCCACGGTGGGGAACTTCGGAACCCAGGAGTCCATGGGGGGCATCGCATACATTTGGACGTTGTAAGTCGCAAGCGAGCAGCCAGCAGGGAAGCCTTTGGTAGCACACCCAGCGTAGATAGCCAAAGTTCTGGTTGCGACAGCCCTGGGGCCCCCATACTGATTCATCAGAATGCACGTGAGCGTCTCCGAAAATCCAGAAGAGATCGCCCGATATTTCCATTTCTTACGATTGGCATCCTCATAGTAGTTAGATAAATCCCATAAAACCCCACCGGCGTGAACAGCTTGATGGCCATCTAGTTCGGCCTTCAAGGCCTGAGCATAAACAGTTTCAAGCACACCACGACCAGACTGATGAGCAAGATAAGGCCTCTTGTTGGCCCTTTCCCACCGACGAGCTTCCTCCCGGCGAATTTTGGACCGCGCCTTCCAGAGGGCAGGGAGCAAACCGATGCCACGGCACGAGGGGCCCTCAGACTGGTCAGGCTTGTGCTTCTCAATCAACGTGATAATGATGCCACGAATGGCTGTCGGAAGTACTCAAATTTCCTCGATCGCTGCCAAAAGCTCACACACACGTTCAAGTTCAACATTACTGAGATAAGCAAAGTGACGAGGGTGAAACCCATCCCAAGTCTGACTGGTAGATTTGGGAAATCTTTTGGCAGCCGATCTGATCTGGCCAGGCGTGACGGGCACCAGGCGGTCGCGCTCGGCCGACGGCAAGTTAAACTCCTGCTCCTGCGGCGCGGCCTGCAACAATCCTGCGAGACGGGCTGCCTCGGACTGAAGCAGCTCAAAAGGCTGGCCTGAAAATGTCTGCAGCTCGGGGCGCCAAACTTTCTGAGGTTGCCAGGACGTGAGCTTCGAGGTCCAACGATGGGCCCAACCGACTCCCCGAGACATGGCCTCCTGGACCCAGTTGTTCCAAGACGTCGTTTCACTTTGGCGGTCCTTGGCCTCCTCAGCTTGGAGCGCGTGGTCAACTGCATCATCGAGCTCTTCAGATACCTTCAACACGAGCGTGGGATCCATCTGGCCATTGTCCTGGCCCTGGGCAGCAGCGCCTAGAGCAGTCCTAACACTGGCGAGCAAACGGGCAAACTCCTCGGTACCTTCGAGCCCTGGGGGTGGTGACTGGATGCTGGTCAGAATCTCCGAAAGGTATAACTCCTCTGTGGAATGACCCCGTCGGATGACATCCATAACTTTGTTGTTCAACCACCGAATCGGAATTGATAGACTCCTCCATCTGGCCCTGGGTTCCACCTCCCGAGCGGCTCCTGGTACCCAGCGGATCTTTGGAAGACCTACACGCGGAGCAGTGGGCGACTTAATCGGAGTGTCAGTGCGGATGCTGATCGACTTCGCCATGTCCGAGGTTAAGTACTGGTACGCCGAATTGAGGGCCAGCAAGCGGGCCTCAATCCCAGACTCTCCATCAATGACCTGGCCCAGGAAATCCAAAGCGGCTTCCGTACGGCCCCAAGTCGGCGCATAGTTTGTCGGCCCGTAGGGCCTGGAAGTAGAGAAAGGTTGGGGCTTCTCCAAGACGGGCGCCATGAAGGGCCCCCCGCAGCGCAGCTGGAACAGCACGGGCCCACGCGGGCTCAAGGAGTACTCGTCCAGAACAGTGGCCCCTGAGAGGCCCTGGTCGAAGCACGACGAGGCGAGAACGAAGTCGATGATGGACTCAGACTTCTTCATCTTACATGTCGGTTTAGTCGGGGCCAAGATCTCAAGGCCTGCTCTCAGCGGGTAGTTCGACTCGATAAGCTTACTCGCCGAAACATTGAAACCCCCAGCAATGATGAGTGGCTGTCGCGCAGCGTCCTCAATCCTTGCGACCCCAGCTAAGAGCTCTAAGTTATACTTGTTAAGGCCCACCCCGTCGGCCAAGTAGAGTGGTACTAGTGCGAATGGACGATGTCCAGGAAGCTCAAGTGAAACTGCTGCGCGCCGTGACTCTGCTACCCCTGCAGGAACTGGCGCACGAGATACTCCAAAGTCATGCCCGTCACGAATCAAAATCCCTGCCCCTTGGACTGGGTACCCTTTATCGCTGAGCACGGCTGGAGAGAGTATCGCATTCCACCCCACACGCTCACACCATTGTACAATGAAAAGGAGCGCATCCTTCAAAACCCGAACTTCTTGACAGCAGATGATACCCACCGTCTCGGCTGCTTTCGACTTCAGAAACTTCCGAATGGAACTCCAGCAGCTTCCATTGATAGTGGCGAACCTGACCGCGTTACCCACACGGATTTCCGTCCGCCCCCTTGCCGCCCTTGCCCTTGTTGGCCAGGCAGAGGGCCTTCGCGCTGGACTGGAGCGCCTCGTTGGCCATCTGCTGCTGGGGCGTGAGCGCCGTGTTCTGGCCGTTGATGTTCAGCACCTGGCCGATCGCATCGCCTGCGCGATTCATGCCCTGGGCGCGCTTGTCTGCTTCATCTTGATCCTGTTGCATGGCCTCGGCCTCGACGTCCAGAGCCGCAGCCTGCTCGGGGCTGACGTCGCCCGAGGGGGCGGCGGCGGCAGCCTGGGGCGGCTGGCCCGTGCCATCCGCAGCCGGCGACGGCGCCATCGGGTCGGCAGCGGCAGCGGCTGGGCCTGTGGGCACAGCCTCGGCGCCCGTCTGGGACGCCGCCGCCACCTGGGGCGCCGTCTGGGCCTGCTGGGCGCTGGCCTGGGCTGCCTGGGCTGCCTGCCACTCGTCGTGCAGCTTCGCCGACAACTGCATGACGGCCTGCTTCACCTCGGCGGACGGCGCAAGCCCTGGCGGGAACTGGCTGGTGATGTACGTCTCCAGCGACGGGGCCGAGGAGCGGATGTGCCCTTTCGGCGCCTGCTCCACTGCCATCTTGTGCTGGGTCTCCAGCTGCTGCGTCTCCGCTGTCAGGTCGGCGACGAGCTTGCACTGCTTGGTGTAGTCATTGGCCAGGGTGGCCATGGCCTCGCACGTTTTGTCACAATCTTGTGGAGCGCTAAGCAGCTTCTTCTTGGCGACTTCGAGCTGGTCGTGCAGCGACTTCCGCTGCTGGTCCCAAGGTTTGGCTGCCAATGTCGTTGCTTTCACTGCTTTTAGCTCCTCCACGGCCTGCAGGTAGTGACTCCCTTTGATGCCTTCCATTTTCTTCCAGAACTGAACCGCTCCCGAACACACAGCAACTGGGTCACGATCTGGCTCATCGGGTTCACGTACAGCTGCAGCTCCTTTGGGGTGGCCCTTCGGCGCTGGGCTGGTCGAGCGCCTGCGCCACCTGTTGGGAGTGCCGCCTGTTGCAGTCTGTGGCTGGGGGGCCGAAGCTGGCTGACCTGTCTTCCCACCGATGAAGGCTGTGCCACACTGACCGCAATACTTGAACGGCTTGTCAGCCCATGTCCATCCCTTGCAGCCACTCGTCTGGCAGCAGAGGTACTGACGCCCTCCGCCACGGCCTCGGCTGGCGCTGGCTTGCCGAGCTCCGCCCATGACTGACTGCGTGGGCTTCCAAACCTCGCTGCTGGTTTGGAAGAACGCGCTCTCGGCGCGGAAAAAAATGCAAGGCTTGGGCCCCAGCTCCTCGGACCTGACCGAGGAGGAGGAGGAGGCGGAGGAGGAGGAGGAGGAGGGAGGAGGAGGAGAAGGAGGAGGGAGGAGGAGGAGGAGGAACGTCCGAAGGATCGGCGACGGAAAAGATGGCAAACGCGCTGGCTGCAGCAATCCTCAACAGCAGTCCAACAGGGACGGAATCGACAGGATCGTGAGGACTTTGAAGGCCCAGGGATCGACTCCAGACTCTCGGTCAGGGGCGAACTCGACGGTCAAGGTCGAGCAGAGGATGAACTGGCCGACTTTGGGCGACATGCAGAAAAGCCCGCAGGACGCTGAGGACACCGTGAAAAAAGCTTCGAGGGTATCTGCAGCATGGCGAATAACGCCGAAGGCATCAAGTGGTACGAGATGGTCATGACCATCGGGGAACTGCCTGAGGGAGCGCCTCCCTGGGCTCGCCTCCGCACCGTTGCTCCAGCCGTTGCCACATCGATGCCGTCGGCATCCGCGTGCATGGCGACGCACCCGCGCAGGATGTCGAGCCATGACGGCGCGCGCCTGGCCAGCTTCGCCTGCAGGGCGGGCAGCAGCGCCCGCAGGCGCTGACCCACCTCGCCGCAGCCAGCCACAGCGCCAAACGCCGCCCCCGCGGCAGCGAAGTGCCAGTGCGCCCGAGCTCCTCGGAGAGTTCCTGCACAGCTCGGTCCGCACAATGCCATGCCCATTCCCGCGCCGCGCGTCGCTCGTCGGCAGTACGCCGTGGGCGGGCAACGCCCCCGCCCTCCCGTAGAATTTTCTCAACCTACACGTCACCCTGCCAGCAAAGCAGAGATCGACTAAGAACAGTTGTGGACAAGGGCGAGGAGAAACGGCTTGAGCCAAAAAGGCTACGGAATATTCCTCTTCCTCATCCTCCTCCTCCAACTCCTCCACCTCCTCCTCCTCCTCCTCCTCCTCCTCCTCCTCCTCCTCCTCCTCCTCCTCCTCCCCCTCCTCCTCCTACCCTCGCCCCCACGCGGGCCCCAGGGATGGCCCGAAGAGGCCTCATAGGCCACCCCCGTGCTCCCAGAGATCTCTCTGTTCACCCTGGTTGCCCGCTTACTTCATGTGCCTCTTGTCCATTTCCCCATCAACTCTCATGGGCAGGGTTTTTGAATGGGCTGGTGGAAATTGGCAAATCGTAAGAAAAAAACATATCCAACTTCAGCGCGCAAATTCTGACTTGGAAGCTCCAAACTCCAACGTTTCCATTCTCAAGTCGCTAAAATGGTGCTATGGGCTTTCGGTTCCTCACCGTCTTCCATGTTCAATCACGCGCCGCGGGACAGAGAAAGAGAGAGAGGAGGAGGAGGAGGAGGAGGAGGAGAGGAGGAGGAGGAGGGAGGAGGGAGGAGGAGGAGAGGAGTGCAGAGCGGGGAGGTGCCAATGCCGAGGCGCGCCGCGGCCTGCGCCGCGGGCGCGCGGCCGCCCCCCCCCCCCACCCCTGGGCCTGTCGCGGTCCCTGTCGCGGTCGCGGTCCCGGTCACGGTCCCGGTCGCGGGTGGGGTCGCGCTCGCGACGCTCGCCCTCCTCGGGGCGGATGGAGGCGAGGTCTGAGAGAGGGGACCTGCTCCTCCTCCTCCTCCTCCTCCTCCTC